ATTTTCAATTCTTCTTGAAGGTGAAATTTATATTAATCATAATATAACTGTCAGGTCATTTAAGTGGGATTAAATAGTAGAATGAAAAAGAGGCACACGTCAATGCCTTGGCAATAATTCACTCACTTACATGAGTTGCCCCAGTATTGTTTAGAATTGAATTCCAGATTGCATAACTAAATGTTGGGCAGTAGTGACAGATTCTGATTTTATACTTCTCTTAGAAAAACTGAAAATATGCCGAAAAAACCAGGGATACAATCTACTTTCACATAGGGTTAAGAATATGTATTGAAAAACTAAAATGTTATTGAGCAGATAAACATTGTCATTAATTATTTTAGAGTGACTTGTCTGCAAGACTCTTGAAAATGTTTCAGATGAAAATACATAGCTACTTCACATTTTTTTTAAGGTCAGAATTAACTGAAGTTCATTCTCTAACAATCCATTTATGCTGAGAAACATCTTTACAAGCATCAGTTAGTCTGCTTCAGGGCAACTGGAAAGAGAAACTATATTACTTTTCTCATTTTGTAAAACATTATTATGATTATTTTAGTAGAAGTAGCTACAGGACCTGGAAGTCTATTTCAGCATCTAGCATTTAAGGTATTTTACAAATTGTATTAAGATTAATATTTTTTATAATAATTCCATTAGGAAAACCTGAGATTTCTCTAGTATTGCAAATTTTTTGATTAAAATTTTATAGTAACTAGCATAAAAAAGTATATATCATATATTTATTTTGTGCATATTTTAATATATTTATTTGAGGTTTCATATATTCCTCTTAGAAGTCTATGCACGTTACAAAACTAGCAAATGTGCTTAAATAGCAACTGGTGAGCTCGACTTTTTACCTCTTTCAATGTGGAAGTAAGGGCTGAAGAAGTAAGGGGGTTAACTAACTGCCATTTAGTAGATGTAGTATAGGCAAAATAGTTGCTAAGCGTGCCCATAATGGGTTTCCACCAAGATAGCTGAGGTAGGGTTGATCAAGGTGGATGATCTGGCAAATTTTCAAGGTTAGGACATCAATCAAAATGTGTTCTACTGTCGCCACACAGATCAGCCCCTCTCCTTCAAAGGACATTGAATCTTCCCTTTCATCAGGATAAAAAGCAATATATTCACTATTCTGGCAATGAGATAAAGGCAGGATTGATGCCATTTGGACAAGTCAAATTCAGCAATTCAGCGTCAAATATATAATAAAGTGAAGTATTAATAATCTGGAAAATGAAATTAAATTATTAGACCAAATAATGAAAAATAAGACTTCATGGTCTGATTTTCATGGGCCCTTCCTTTCTGTATTTTGTGCAAGGGACAGATAGATGTGTTCATTTTCTGCATAGAAAAATATTTACCAACAAAGATTTTTCCAATATCATGTGCTTTCATTAAAATAGCTTCATCTATTGTCTGTCTTGCAGCAAGTTCCTCTGTTTTTCGTTTTTTTTTTTTTAAATCCTGGGCAAAACAAAAAATGAACAGCAGTTTTACATTTTACTGCTAAACATATTATAAAATTTAATTATATAATTTTACATATAATTTATATAGTTTTCTCAAGGTTGAAATTTCGGAAGTTCTGTTGGCAGCAGTTTAAGAAACAGAAGGATGTGAACTGGTATGTGTTTTGAGAATGCTTCATTCAGTATCTAAATTTGGATCCTAATTGACAGTGTGCTACATTAATTCTAGAAGATTTCTTTTTTCTCTCATACAGCCAGATGTATCTTGTTCTGTATCCTGATGGAGCATGAGAAGAGAGTAGTGTCCCAGCTGCTTCCTATGTAATATGTACAGGGCTTTTAGGAATCCATATTTCTTCTTGCAAAAGAAGAGAAAGAATCACAGGGGCTTTGATTTTTGGAAGATAACTTTTTCGACTCATTTTTATCAGAAGTAGCTGTTATGCAGAATCACATTCTAATCAAATATAAAGATGCATATGTAATTTGAGGATATATTTTTATAAGAGATTTGATTATATGCTACTATTTTTAAGGGAAACAGACAAACAGCTTCTTAGCAGAGTATGACTGCTTACCCAGGCATTCACATGCTATGTCTGTGATAGTTCATGATATCATTATTTTCAAGATTCTTATTAAAACAAGCTGAAGCACCAAATAACTAATTGAACACAATATTTTAAAATTACATTGCTTTAGAGTATCACATTTATTTGTTAGCACTCGTCTAACTCTTATACTTTATCTAAATATCTTGAAGATTATTCCAAAAGGATAAGAGATTGAAGTTGTTTTTTTTTTTTTTTTTTTTTCACCTTGATCAATCTTTACCTTAAAAATGTTGGATACTCTGGGGCCATCTACTTAATACGTTTTCATGTTTCAGTGAAGGCTTCTTCTTAATGTGCCTTCTTGCCGCCTTCTTTTTCTTTGTACTGTGTAAATATTTATCACTCTTCCATGTGCAAATAACTTGTTTCAGTCTTTGAAAAAGACGATACATTATTTCAGAATATTTGAAATTTGAGAGGAAATTATTAAAGTTATATCTGGGTCTATGTGAGCTAAACCAAATCCTTCTATTATTTTGCTAATGCAAATACATCTGTATACTTTTCAAAAGAGTGTTCGAGATTAAGGTCATGGACAGATGTGGAAGAGAAAATTCCTGAATAGATACAGATGTTAGAGAATCTTCTTCGTAAAGCCTCTTTGATGTTTAGGGAAGCAAACTGCATACTATTAGTAGGAGATACAAACACAAACACACACACACACACACACACACACACACACACACACACACAGAGAGAGAGAAATATCAATCATTGGGTTACTTTAACTTGGTGAATTGTAAATGGTGTATTTTTTGGTGTACATATTTCAGAATACTGCCACCCAGTTGTCTTTGGATAGAATCAAATGAGCAGTAGACACAGAATTGTATTTTGGTACAACAATATAGCGAACATTTAAACAGTCACGTAGGCTTCCTGCCAAACCAAGTAAATTCATGTGTGTAATGGTCTCTAACATATCAGTGCAGCTACTGTTCTGATGGGCCAAGGACCAAATATGTTATGCAGGGAAAATAGAGGCTTGCTGTTAATCAGAAATATCTGGAATACATTTGAGTTTTCTTTAAATAGTAGATTTATGGCACTCTATCCTTTATCCCCAAAACCTGCAATGAGGACTTTTGGTCAAAAGAGTTTCTAAATTTATTGTAGAAATCAAGTCTGGTTTATTTAAACCTTGTGTCAATTTTTTTCCCAAAACATATTCATTAGTACTATACTGTGATCTCCTAGGAGACTGAATTGTATGCTTTGGATTCCAACCTAACTTTTTAAGTGCAAGTTCACCTTTCATCCTATTTAGTAGCGCTTGTCTAACTGTCAGCCACCTCTCACAGCCAAGAGTAACTGCATACTTGGACTAAACCTATATGAATTAAAAGCTTAAAATGAAAGAAGCTTCAGAGTCAGCAAAGACAGAGTTTGGTGGACGCAAGCCAAGTAGAGAAAGGAGGATCATTTTCCCTTTCGATTTATATCACTTTTCTTTGTACTAGCACTTGCTTGTTATTATACATATTTGTTTGTGTTTTTTATGTTGCTTGTTTTGTTTTGTGATCGCAGGCTGGGAATATGAAAAGTATATTCAATACTGAATAACTTGACAAACAATAGCCAAATGTTTTCCCTTTTCTTGAGTCTTCTCCCCAGTGAAAGCAAGTGTGAATTGTGTTCCTAACAAAGGGAGGTAAGATATAAGGAAGAAAAAAGCCAGAGAAGTAGTGATCAAAAAAACAGAAGCAAGATTCGTCCATGCTTTCATTCATTTCCTATCCTTTTTTCCCATTTCTCTGACCTATTTTGCTAGTAATAATTGATTTTTCACACCTGGAGACCACAAAACCATGGAGTAAGGTTCTGCCTGCAGAGTTTAGTGTGAGTATCCAAGCTTCTTAGCCATTAGGTGCTGAAGTTTTCTTCAGCTTGATCAGTCCTTGTTTGACCACCAAGGTAGCAGGTTTCAAGGTCAGTCTGTATATATTCATTTGTTCCACATAAAGATGGAAGTCATATACATAATATATTAAAATATAAGAAGAATGCCAAGGCGCAACAACCAGCAAGTTCCTTTTTTGTTTGGAAGCTAGCGTATGGTCTCTTAGCCAAAATGCCCCCAGTTCCTTAAAAAATACCATTAATGAATTACTACTGAATTAGCATTGCCTGGTATGTATTCATCCTTCAGAACAAATCTAAACCTACACTTCCTTAAAGCTCTGCAATTTGCATTTAGAAAAAGTCACTTCTTCCAGAAGGATGGAAGAAACCATAAATCCAAGAGCTTTCTATAACAGTAATCTAATGTTTTGAAAATTTAAGGTTCTGATTCACAGCCTTTCACCTAGAAGTAAAATTAGAGCTGGCAACCAGTAATATACTAGATGATTTCTTTAATTATTTTTATATAGATTGGGAGTGATGCAAGAGCAGGAACCAGATCTTCTCAATTGTGCACCCACAGTACTAAAGTCAATATTTTTCACACAGTAGGACTTTAATAATTACCATTGAATTGAACTAAATTTGCTAACACTCAGCACCAAATATTCTTTTTCAGCTCTAGATGACTTAGAATACTTTCCTGTTTTGCTGTTATAGTTCATCTGGCCAATGAAATTTTATTGAGGAGACAGTGAATAAATTATATTGAAACTTTCCTTCAAGTAGAATTGAATTTACTTCACAAAATCATTATTTTTGAACCTGAGCATTCTACAAAGAATAACCCTAAAGAGAAGGAAAAAATACCACAGCATACTTAAACATAGATCTAAAACTCAAGTCAACTATTCAGACAGGACCCTGTAGAGATTGATTTTGTGACTAAAGAATACTGTAGTATTTTCTTTCTTAGAAAGCAAAAATCTAATTATCTTGAAGTTTCTCACATTTGAGCCATACTACAAATGAGCTGTGTCCAGGTACAGAAAAACCAACAATATTTTATTTATAATCTTACTTTTAGCTTTTTAACTACAAATTCTGGTTCTAGAGTTGTTTAAAAGTCATGGGTTTTATAGATGCTTATATGTAAATTAATCTGTTGTTTGCTCACTTTCTTTTCTTTTCCATAGAATTGTCTTCCTCATAAATACAGAACAGGTCATTACATGAAAAATATAAGATCTTGCATTTTTTTCCTTGTTCTCTCTTAAAAATCTATTTCTAATATTGCATTCCCCATTGGATTACTTCATATGGGTATGAGGGAAAAAGAAAAAAAAATTAAAAATAGAGAGACAAAATAGACTGGATCTCACCACTAGAATTCACCATAAAAATCTCAAAGTGTAACAGAATTCTTACAAAATTTCCTAGACCAGTTCTTTAAGGAATTGAGATCTCCTATGAAAAATATGGCAATCAGGGAAGGGAGGAACGAGATGTGGGAAAATAGTGAATAAGTGCAGCAAAAACAGGTTCTGAGGAATACACATAATTTTGTCTGCTTTAGATCACAATAGAATTTTTAATAAATAAATTTCTTTTTTGTTTTTTTGTAAAGACACTTTTTTGAAACAGTAGATTTAGCCCAGTCATTTGTGTCATTTTTAATAAACTGTCTTTTTTTGATTGTTGTATGTAACTCTGTAAATGTTTTAGATTTGAGTCTCTTGTACATTGTCTTTAGAGTTCATTCGGATCAATAACGGTTCATGCACTGAACTGTGTATTGAATTTATTGTGTTAACTGTTGTTGTGTGGTTGAAGGGAGATTTGTATGAGTTATAGTGATTTAGGTGCTCATGCTCGATAGCAGGCATGGGCAGGTGGCTTTCCATGGGTGTGTCTCCCGTAATCTCATCATCCACATTAATGATTTCAACAGTCCTTGTTGGGGCATGATGGTTTTGCCGATGGTGCTGCTTTCTCATCTTGTAGAAAATGACCAGCATCACTGCAGCCATGAGCGTGATGGCCACAAAACACCCAATGATGATTTTGGTAGTCTTCATGACCTCATCGATTCCTGGGATCCCACTGTTTATATCAGTCACTGGGATGGTGAAGGTTTTCTCTGTCGACCTTGTGCTCTGTGGCGTGAGAGAGGTGGTCACATTGGTGGTCTCCCAGTCAACCACTGGAGTGGGACCCACATTGTTATCTGTGGTCCGTGCCTCATCCTGAGACGGTTCCATAGTCTCTACTGTGACGGTTGAAAAGTAAGAGAAAGGAGTAGTGGTTGCCGCAGTAACATTCAGGGTGGCTGATGCGGTAGTATTCCCAACGGAATTACTCACCATACATGTGTACATGCCTGTATCTTGCACAGTTACATTTGTGAAATTTAACGTACCATCACTGAGCACAGCTATCCTCACTTTGTAAGCCCCGTGTGTCATGACTGTTCCATTTGGAGTAATCCAAGATACAGATGTCAGGGAGGTGGAGGCCCGACATTTCAACTCAGCTGCCATGCCTTCAGTGACATTGAGGTCTGCAGGGGGCTCCACAATCACTGGAGCATAGCATGTGAAATAATTCTGGTCAAGCTCTCCAATGTACCTCCCCTTTAGATTGGGAGGAGTGTTACACCGGGCACAACAAGCTGTGTTGGAGGGGGCCATGTCTTTTATCCACCAGCTGAGCCACAGTATGTCACAGTTACAGTTCCAAGGGTTGTGATGTAGATGTATCCGCTCTAGATGATGCAAGGGAGTGAAGAGGTCATGAGGCAGTAATGTTAGATTATTGTGTGCCAGGTTGATCTCCACTAGTGACTGAAGGTTGTCAAAGGCATTCCGTTCAATCACTTGAATCTGGGACTGTATCATCCACAGTTTTTGAAGGTGCATCAAACCCTGGAAAGAGCCAGGCCTGATGGCAGATAAATGATTCCCAGAAAGATCCAGCTCATCTAGTTTTATGAGCGGCGTGAGGTTAGGGATTTCCCGAAGGTTGCACATGGCAAGGTTCAAATACCTCAAGTTGGACAGACCTTCAAAGGCACCTTCTGAGATGTATGAAAGTCTTTTCAATTCCCCTAAGTCTAGTCGGCGCAAAGAAGGAATTCTGTTAAAAGCATAAGAAGGGATGCTTTCAATTGGGTTGTTTCGCAACCAGAGCTCCTTCAGTTTAGACAAGTATACAAAAGCTCCATTCGGGATGGTAGTAAGACGATTGTCAAAGAGTTCCAGAGTATTGAGGTTCGCCAGACCATTGAAAGCCCCAATTTCAATGGTTCTGATATGGTTCCTACTCAACTGTAGGATTTCCAAGTGCCTCAAGTGCTTGAAGCTGTTCACTTTGATGATCTGGATTTGGTTCTCATGGAGATTCAGCAGCCGTGTGTTGGTGGAGATGCCATCCGGAACCTCACGCAGGTTTTTCCGAACGCAGATCACCTTGCTGAATTGGTTGCTACAGGAGCACACAGAAGGGCAGGTCTGAGCCCGCACCAGACCAGCCACCACAAGAAGTTGAAGAGCCAGCAGCGCCACAAGCAGGGGGTCAAATAGGGCCCTGTTAAACCTAGGACCTATCATTATCTGCTGTGGATGTAAGGTCATCTTGTTCAACATTCATAATTTATCTGGTGTTGGTCCTTCTGGAATTCAAACAGTCTGCAAAATAAAAGCAAAAAAAGATTATTTAGATTAGATTTACTCTTAGTGTCTTTCTGGAGTAATGTCAGTGATATAGTGTATTAGCTGAAGCCATCATTTGTCAGACAAAAACAAATCTAATGTTCTTTATTATGTGGTTCATATTTAGAGGCAAATGTACCTTTACTCCAAATTAGGAGCTGTCCAAAGACCACATTCCATGAGATGCATAACCACAGAGTAAGGGACCAGTGAGGTAGAGGACCGTAAAGTATTGTTTGCCAATCAAATGTGGCCCAAATTCATGAGGACATATGATGCATACTCCACCGTAGCTTCAGTGTCCACAGCAGATTGAAAAAGTTTAGAAAATAGAACTTTGGGGCTATGTCAAACTAAAAGCTCCTTTGCAAAAGTAGTAATAGCTGACATATTATATTGAAGGTTATTCTATGTACCAAACACCGTGGGCTATAGACTTTACAAACAAGCCTGTCTAGAAATGGCTACAGAATTTGTGTTTTTCAGTGTGAAATAAAAATGTAGGAAGCCTTATAAAATTAATAATTTCAAATCAGTAACAAAAGTCCATTAAACCAAGTTTGGGTCCATCTAAATGTGGATTTCTTTGCAGCTGCACAGGATGTAGGTCTGTGAAGCTAGTTGCAATCTTTTGTCATCCTTACAACACTTCTCTGAAGTAGAAATTGTCATTCTTTTCATTTTCAAAATGAAGAAATATAGAAGTGACATTCAAGAAGTCAAATGTTACTATAAATCAATCAGGGCTCAGACGTTCATCAGACTGGTCCCAGAAGATATGATCTAAGATATAACATAAAAATGTTGCTATGAGAATAAAGGTAAATGCAAAATATTTTTCACATAGTGAAAATATTTTGAAACATTTTTCAATCGTGAAGGACTTGCCCATAAGCATGACTTTCGTATGCAAACCAGCCAATCCAAAGGTCAAACCCTAGCCACCTTATAAGGCTCTCCCGGGACACTGTCACTGAGACCAACATTCCCCTTCCCTAATCACCCTACGTCCACTTACCAGGCAACAAGAGACAGCCCTTATGTCCCAGAGATTGCTCAGATTGTTCAAAAACCAGCCAATCATAAGCCTGCTTACCCTGCCTTTCCCTAAAACCACAATAAAGGCTCTTGCTCACATTTTCCGCTGGCTGCTTGGTACTGGCTGACCCTGCTGCTTCCCAGTGTGGGCTCCTCATGCTGTGTCATGCCCCCTCCTGCTGTGAGCTGTGAGTAAAATCATCACTTTCTTTTTTTTTTTTTTTTTTATTTTTTTTGAGAAGGAGTCTTGCTCTGTTGCTCAGGCTGGAGTGCCGTAGCATGATCTCAGCTCACTGCAACCTTGCTTCCCTGATTCAAGCGATTCCTGTGCCTCAGCCTCCGGAGTAGCTGGGATTACAGACACATGCCACCACGTCTGGCTAATTTTTTTTGTATTTTTAGTAGAGACGGGGTTTCACCATGTTGGTCAGACTGGTTTCAAACTCCTGACCTCAGGCAAAATGCCTGCTTTGGTTGCCCAAAGTGCTGGGATTACAGGCGTGAGCCATCATGCCTGGCCCCTCACTTTTTAAATGGCAGCCACCTCCTGATCCGGTGCCTCACTCTAGCTAAATAATAATAACTGCATTCTAAAACAATCACTAAGCAACAGGGCCTGGCTCATCATGTGAATCCTGTTAATAGGTTTTATAGGATTACTCCCCTGTCCCATTTATATCATGACAACAGTGTGGTTGGTAGGTTTCACATCCTAAGTCAGATAGAGTTATCCTCATTGTAAATTTAAATATGGGCTTAAATGACTCTTTTCTATTTCCATTATCAATAGAAAGCTATCTAAATTACCAGTAATTATGACCATTGAAAATTTATCATTTGAGTGATTTAGTGTAGTTTCACATATGCCCTCTCCCCTTGAAACCTATGTCTGTTTCAGGGAGAGAGGGCATATGTTATTAAGGTTATTGGGCATAAAATAACATAGCATGCAAAATCCCTGATATATAAACAAATTAACATTTCTAGGGCTCTGGTCCCACCGTCCTGCTCCTCCATTCTTTCTCCTATTCCCTACCCTCTAGCTCTCCCCAGAATCCTAGGGTCTCAGGCAAAACAGGTAGAAATAGCTGGTTGACTGGAAATAGCATAAAAGTAAAGAAGATAATTCCTTACTCTGCTGTTTGCTACCTTTTTCTTTTTAAACTATGATGCAGTAAAGGCAACCATGCTCTGTGGTTAAGAGAAAAGAGTTTAATGTGAGACTTCTTGAGATCATAATCCCTGTTTGAACCTCAATGACCTTAAAATTGAGAGTTACTTCATATCTCTATACGTTCCCCATCTGTGAAAGAGCACTATTATCTACTCAAAAGGCTTTTCTTAGGGCTGTCGTGTAATACTGTATATGTAAAGTTACTGGTGCATAAGAAGTAATATATAATAGTCAAAGATATTAAAAATAAAGTGATGGGACACTCAGTTTCTTCCTCTTTTAAAAGACAGGAGCAACAATAATATCTCATTGAAATTTGTGGTAGGGATTACTAGATATAATCAGGAACATACTATCAGTAAAACATATGCAACGATGATATATTACTATTAATTATAAGGTATATGCATTTATTCTTTCTTACTCTCCAGGCTTGAGTTTTATTTTCTACTTCTTGTTTACTTCAAGGTCTTTGTGCTATTGGAATAAATGAGATTTTCTATAAATCAGTCATAAGTAACACTTTACAAATTATAGCTGGTTCAAATCTAATTTATAACCTACAGCAAATAATGCTTGGTACATGCACTGAATTAAATCAACTACTATCAACAAAAGGTTTTTTACTTTAATATCCAAATTATGTTACTTTATATCAAAAACTAGGTTTCAACATTTCTTTCATAAGATGTTTTTATCACATCAAAAGAAAATTAAAGTATGCACTATCCATTACAATATCATCTGACAGCATTTATTTACAAATGCATTTGTGTGAGTTTTGAATTAAACTATGATACTTTTAGCCTTGTCCTGGAGGATATCTTGACTTTGTCAGTAGACTTCCTTCCTTTACTACCTATGCTTTAGTGCACTCAGAGCCTGTGCAGTGAAGCAACTGTGAGTTAGCTAACAGAGATGCATTATTTAGCACAGTATCATTGCTAAGTCATCATAGGCTTTGTCTAGACATTAGAACTGGTTTGTAAGCAAGGAGGGAGAAAGATGAATTCAGTTAACCACAACTGTACCCCTTCTTTCTCTTCTCACATTATCCTTAACCAACCTCCCTAAACAGAACCAAAACTGCTTACCCCTGGACCCTAGGACTCCAAACCACACCTTACCGTCTACATAAATATGACTTTGCTCTTCCACTGTCTGTCTTAGCATCTCTTTCCTCTTCTGTGGCTCTTCCACCAAACCAATTCACTGATCCTTATGGGAACCTCCCCCAAAGTCCCATCCACTCTTTGATGGAAAATTCAACAGACATTTGTGCTCAGATTTACTGAATCTCTTGACTCACCTTGCTGTTTTCATCAATCCTGAATTATTGTGTCATAATTCTTGTATAATCCTGAACAGGTTCCTATATTGGAAAACCTTCCTAGAGTCAAACTTAAAATTTAATTAAAAAAAAAAAATTCAAAGTCCCTGGACACATGTGCAGGGCATGCAGGTTTGTTAGATAGGTAAGCATGTGCCATGGTGTTTTGGTACACCTAGCCACCCATCACCTAGGTATCAAGCCTCACATGCATTAGCTATTTTTCTTTATGCTCTCCCTCCCCGCTGCCACATCCCAAACAGGCCCCAGTGTGTGTTGTTCCCCTCCCTGTGTCTATGTGTTCTCACTGTTCAGCTCCCACATAGAAAACATGCAGTATTTGGTTTTCTGTACCTGTGTCACTCAAACTTCCAATTCTTAATAAATTCTGAGCTAATCTTCACAGCTCCTGTCACAGACACTGCCAAATTTGTGAGGTGATACTTTTCCTTACCACCATAATCAGTAAAGTCAGCTCTGCCTTATCAACAAGTTGTATTGATGATATTTGGGGAATTAGCTTTTTACAATACTAAAGGTCTATTATTCATTTAAAATGTGCTTGAATCTCAAACAGTAACTTCACCCTCTCCCACCCCACAAACACAAATTTGTTGCCTACCCAAATATCCTACTCCCTTACTCTTTTCTAAGAAAATTTTATACAGAAAAATTTACTCCCATGCAAAAAAAAAAGAAAGAAAAAATATAAAATACTGTTTTATCTGTTTTAGGAGAGACTGAACCATTACTGAAGGGTGAATAGAATTTGGTTTAAGCTAGAAGTAGGCAAACTTCTTTTCCTGTAAAGGGCCAGATAGTAATTATTTCAGGCTTTGTAAGCCATATGATCTCTTGTTGCAACTACTCAATTATGCCACTGTAGCAGCCATAGACAAAAGGTAGATAAATGGGCATGGCTGTGTCAATGATACTATTTATAGTACAAAGTAATATTTTCGGAAATTGTAGTTACAGCAATCAGACGTGACAAAGGACATCTTGCAAAGGAAGAAGTCAAATTATCTTTGTTTGCACATGATATGATCTTATGTTTGGAAAACCCCAAGGGCTCTACCCAAAAACTATTAGAACAGATAAGCAAATTCAGTAAAGCTGCAGAATACAAATACAAAAATAAGTAGTATTTCTAAATGCCAAGAGCAAAGAATCTGAAAAAAGAAATCAAGAAGTTAATCTCATTTACTATAAATACAATAAAATAAGAATTAAAGAACTGAAAGATCTCTACAATGAAAACTAAAAAACATTGATGAAAGAAATTGAAGAGGACACATAAAAAGTGAAAAGATATTCCACGTTCATGGATTAGAAGAATCAATAGTATTAAAATGTCCATATTACACTAGGCAATCTACAGATTCAATGCAATCCCTGTTAAAATACCACAGACATTCTTCACAGAAATAGAAA